ATGAAAGAATGTTATTTTTTAAGGGAAAAAATGGTGAGTTATTATGTCTGTTTCCTCATTCTAGGTACATAAAGGCAAAACACCTCTCTGTCTAGTTACTCTCTCCCTTTTAGTATTCCACCTTGTCAAGGCAAAGAGCAGATGGAGCTGGAGTATATGGTTTTGCATGGAGCCACTTTCCCAGGGCAATTCTGTGGTGGTTCAGGGGTATCTTTTTCTGGCGTCAAAGCTGTCTGAATTAAAATTTTGACTGTACTAATTCCCCATGTATAATATGGGCAAGCTGTTTAGCCTATTTGAGCTTCAATGCCCTCATCTGTAAAATTATGCTCCTAAGAGTATGGACATCATTGTGTCTTTGTTGGAGTTAAATGAGATCATCCACAGAAAGAGCTCACATTGAACCTGGCAGATGGTGACACTCAATACTTTTAGGAGTTATTGTTGATCCTTGCCAAAAGAGGACATACTCTGTTGAATAAACAGAACTAATAATGGAGATGTTAACTATGAGTGCTAAGGGATTAAGGTTTAATTTAGGGAGATCAGTGGACAAATGCGTGGAAGGGTACTGAGAAGGAAAAACCTTACAGTACGTTTCAATCTTACCACATCAGTGGTTAGAAATTTGCCTACTTGTAATTTGCCTCAAGTCATTTCCTGGGTGGGAACTCAATGATCTCACCTGATGACTTCAAAAAGGCAGAAGACATTGATCATTTTCCAAAGCTCCCATTGACTTGTTGATAAATTCCCAAGTCCCTGGCTCGGATTTAAGGTCCTCTACAATCTGGCCTCCAGAATTTTATTAAACAACAACTACTGCATCCTTTCATAAGATACTGCAATCCAGCCAAACAGCTGTTTGAAGTCCTCTCAGTTACTTCTCACTTCCCCTCTCCAAAACTTTGCTCATGCCCTCTCCTCTCCCTGTGTGAATATACTACTTACTCTTCAAGCTCCAGCTTCTGTGTCAACTCCCTCATGAAGCATTCCTTACTGCCAGCAAGATGGTCATCTTTTATCTTATACACTCTTGTGAAATTATCTGTCCAGGAACTTTCAAATTTTTAGCTAGAATCTCAGTAAGAAATATATTTTGCATTGGCGCACATTTCATTCAAATACACACACACACACACACACACACACACCCTTAAACAAAAGCTTCATGAAATTATTTACAATATCATTCTAGTATTCCTATTCTCTTTTATTTGGCAAAAGCTCTAACTATAATCCACTAAACAGATCTAATCACTCTTTAATTGCATCATAACCTACACTTTGAAAAACATCGGTCTATGCCACCTATACAAAATATACTTTCTTATTTTATGTATATAGGCATTATGCTCCCTACCAGATTAAAAGCTACTCAAGGGTGACACTGTGTGGTACATTATAGAATCTTTTACTGTATCTAATTATGTTATTCATTTTAGTTACCATTTGTAGAAGAAATAAGAAAGGAAGAAAGGAAAGAAGAAAGGAAAGAAAGAATGAGGAAGGAAATAAGAAAAATATCTCTGGAGATCTTGATTATGCTCAAAAGTTAAAGTTGTTACTATTTAGGAAGTCAATGAGTGGGAATCATTCAAGTTATTTATGAGAAAAATTTCCAGTCAATGTGATATATGCTTCATTGAATAACTTTTCAACCTCAATTTAAACTTAGAAATTGGTATCACATCATGGACCATAGTATGAAAAGAAAGTGAGAATAAAATGATTAATAGAGAAAAGATAACCTCATCCATGTTGTGTTCCTTCCCCCTGAAGAATACTGAGAGCAGTAAGAGGGATGCCACCAAGGGTGTGAAGTGTATCTCTAGAGGTGAAAAAAGCTTTTGACTTGATTTCTATAAAGCCTGTGAAAAGGCAGTTCTGTCATTTCTGTATGTGCTGAACATGTCTATACGCGCTGAATATATCAAGCAATTTCTGTGTACTGTCTATAAACAAAGTTGGTGCTAAATGATAACACTTTTAGGCACCTCAAAACTATAAAATGAAATTGGAAATAGATCCTATCTCATGGCATCTGAAATGTTGCTTTTCACTGACATGAAAGATTATTGGTTTTTCTCAGTTTCACAAAAGAAAATTTTTTAAATTAACTTTATTTTTATGAACTATAACTAAAAAAATTAACACGTTATATTTTAATGTAATAAAAAGTTACACATTTTAAAGGTTTACAATTAGTTATTTTAGTATAGCCAAAGACTTAATATTGAAATTTTACCATTTTTGAAACATAAAATGTACAATTATAATACCCAGACTACATATCTAAATTTTAAAAATATTTTTAGTATTTAAAAAATTTTTCAATTACAGTTGACATCCAATATTTCAAAGAGAAAAATTCAGGGTAAAATTTAAATTTGAGAAGTCATACTACTGACATATATTTGCTGAAATAACATAGCCAGTTTGGGATTTAAATATAATTCTTTGTTATTCAAAATTCATCCTCTCAACTAACATGTTATACTATACTCCATTGACAGTTAGTAACAACATAAAAATAATACCTTCTCTGGACCTGAAAACATTTTCCAAGTCCTTTGTAGATGTTTGCGTTATTGTTTTTTGATCTTCAGTATAACAGTGAGTATACAGAGACAAGACTAACGAAATACAGGATTAAAAAGATTATATAAATGTTAATAAACTATCATAATAGTATATAAAACAAATCTTTTCATAGATCACTGAGAATTAAGTCCTACATCATCACTTTGAAAAAGTAATAATAATATTTCAATGAAAGTTTTAAGGATTATTAAATATTGAATTTCTACTGCCAAAAAAGAATTATTAAAAATAAATATATAAGATAGATCACAATATGTTGACTTCATTTTTGTGTTTTTGACTGTTACAATTTAAAGAAGTAAATCATTTGAAAATGCAGATTTATGGTGGCTTCATACCCAAAATTTAGGCATGTTACAATTGTTCAATTTCTTTAAAATTTATTGTCTTTCTTTGGAACATAAATATATGTATGTATTTGGAGGTATATTTACTATATCATATATTATATATGTATATATAGATATATGTATATATATACATATCATATATATGTATATTGAAAATATTTAGTAAAACATCTACTGTTCAGAGAGTGTCTATTTCATCTGGCAATGTTAGTTTAGTTGGCTTAAGAATATTGTTAAATTTCAAATTTACACATTTATTCCTCTAGTTTTGTCAGATATTATTTTGTTTCAAAACCTCAGACTGCTCCTGCCAGCCATCTTGAAAATTCATGCCATTGGTGAGAAGCACATGGTGTTAGTGAATGAATATTAAACTTAAAGCTGAATTTATGCTAATTAGAAAAATTCATTCCAAATTCATGCCCTACTGACTGGGTTAACATCAGTATATATACAGTTTACTTTATTTAAATATAATAGTCTGTTGAACAGCAAAATAAATGTAAATTTTAATGCAACTACTTTAATACAATTCGCTTATTTCAGATATTGAAAATGGAACCATTCCTGTATTATCATCATTCACAATTTCTGCAACAAAAACGTCTGTAATAACACCAAGGACAGCGGCATCACCAACTCCTACAAAAGCAATAACTGGAATATTTCTCAAAGGTAGGATTAATTCAGTGAAATTTACTCTAACTTTAATAAGTAAAATTAGTAGCACCTATGTAATTTAATCACAGAAAAATAATTGGAGATTATATATTTATTTTTATAAAGTTCTGTTCTATTTCACTCTTTTAAACTTCTGTTACTTTGGGTTGAATGCCAAACTCTGAGATCTCAGTGAGCTTCTTTGATAATATCTCCTTGTATCACTTCCTATTTGAGAATTATCCTATTGTTAATATTATATACACAAAGTTTATTTTTAGAGGAGAAAAAAATTACCATTTCCTAAGTCATAAAAATATCTTTCTAAATATTCCAGTTCTTCATTTAAGCAGCACAGCTGACATGGTGAAACTGTATTTATAACAAACTGATTTCGTTAGTTGTATTAGGCAGATAATAGGTTTAATGTGTAGATTTTAGTAGCAATGTCATTGTTATTGTTACTAAACTGAGTGACAACATATCATTTTTTATAGCTCTAGCTATTAAAGTAGATTATCTTACTATCCATGAAAAGTAAAATGAGCCATCAGGATCATGCAAGTAAAAACTCAAGAGGTTATCAATCCAATGAATACTGCATTGTCCATCCTGCATCACACATAAAATGAGGCATTATCATTAAGGTCCAGTAATCAAATGAACAGGTGAAATAGTAATTATTTGTTGATCGCCTGTGAGCAGAAACCCTGGCTAGAATGCTAAGGTCACCAAAAGACCTGAAAAACATATACTCTAATGAACAGATGACTGACAATCCCACATCTGTCTTTATTGCCTCTTTATTTTCGTTTATCTTTTATTCTAAGACCAAGTTCAAACACATGCTGAAGACTGATGAGGGCTATCTTGCTGGGCTTGAATGGGGTGATGATTCTCAGAGAAAAAATGTATTATGAATAAAGTTCATTATATCTGAAATGTTTAATTTTAAGGTAAAACCAAACCAATTCTCCTAGAACTTTTCTATCAAGCCAAAAGGAAACATTACACAATGATGGCAGCACTTCGTTTTATTCCCAGACTGTGGTACAACCTTTATGTTCATCCAAGGGAAACTCCAAGGACATAATCAGGCCTCCAGCCAACTCCTGCACACTGTATTTTTATCTTATTTTTAAAAATTGTCTCAGTTCTATGTTTCCAGAATTTAAGCGTCTCTCTCTCTCTCCCTCTCCCTCTCTTTTTCCCCATCTCTCTCCATTGCCACCTGAGATCTTGGCATAAAATTGCACTAATCTGGTAAGAGCGTATTATTTTTTAAACAATAATTTCCCCCCAAAATAGGTCCTGACTTTATATGCAGACCCAAATATTGAAGTTCCACAATTTTTATGTTAACTACTTGGAACTTATGCTTTTTCAGTGAGAAGATTCCTAGCCCTGCCTACAATGATTTATAGTGGAAAAACGTCTAAATAATACAAATTCTAACCACTATGTTAAATGACTGAGAAAGGGCAGAGATGGGGGGCTCAGTGAAGGAATTCAGCTAGAATTATCATTTGTGATACCAAGAATACATCTTACCTTTTTGACTTGGAAGAGAAACTCTATACCTACTTATGTAAAGCATTATTGAGAGACATTTCTAGCAATTTTACAGTCGGTGGCTTCTGTAAGGGGACACTGAAGCACTCTTTTTTAAAGTAAGTACATACAACACCTGAGAGTCTTTCTACACACACACACACACACACACACACGCACACACACACACACACACGCCCATACACACACATTCTGCTTCATTCCTTTTCATGAACACCTTTACTGCTTTATAGTATCCAATTAACAAAATTTAATCTCTAGTCTGTGTTCTTCGAAAGTTCTCCAGCTGAGTTTTATATTATTCGATTGTGAAAATTATAATAGGCCAGAGCAGCTTCTCTTTTTATTTTTATTATGAAAATGTTCAAAAGTAGAGAGTGTAATTAATTCCCATGTGTCCATCTCCTAGAATCAATAAATATGAAGATTTTACCACATTTCCTTCATTTTTTTCCTTCCTTCCTCTCCTTCCACTTTTTCCTTCCTTCCTCCCCTCCTTTTTCTTTCTTTCTCTTTCTTTATTTGGTTGTCAAAGTATTTTGAAAGGAATGTATTATGAAGCTATAATGTCATTCTGAAATTCTACAAATTAGTAATACTTTCTTAAAATCATCTAATATCTCATCTAATATTTAGAGGGATTTTAAGAGTTAAAATCTTATAACCATGAATATAGCAATGAAGAGGGGTTACAGGATAAAGATGAGTCCATTCTGGGGTCCCTCAGGAAATCAGCTGGGACTGAGGTAGAGGGCAGATGAAGAAGGAAAGGCAGGCTCTGATGGCTACAATCTGCCCGGATCCAGTATGAGAAACAGAAAGTCTGGCGTAATGGTCAGGGCAGGTGGAGCCATCAGGCAGCAGGGCATCCGTGGAGCTTATAGAAAAATGAAGGAATGACACTGAAGAAGGAAGACAGACGAAGGTACTCCTTTTTAAGGGTGTAGGTAAATAGAACTACATATACTGGATATTGCCTTTGCTCCTAAATCCAATATAATTAATACAGAGCTAATGAAGGTAATGGGAAATTTCTCTTGAATTCTCATATATCTAAGCAGTTTATCAGTATAGATGTCTTTCTAACTTCAGGTGTATGAGGAGCTTACATTTTGGGGTTTACACTGTCTAATGCTCCAAAATAACACTATTTAGATTGTATAATATCACAAAAGGTATGTCTACAGTAATGTGATCCCATATTTCCCATTCCTCATAGCCAACATGGTCATTTTAGCCACAATGAAAGTGTTTAACAAAAAAAAAAAAAAAAGCATGCCATGAAGAAGCTTCTTTATTTTCCTTGTAAAGCTTCCCAATCAGATTTTCTTGTTTAAAGGTCAAATGATGCTTGACTTAATAGTGCTTATGTTTATTTAAAGCATGTGCATTTTTCTTTCTCCTAAAAATGGCAAAAATCTTATCATCAGAAAAGTGGAAAATGTGCGACTAGGATGGGAGTTCTTAGAGCAATATAGTCATGGCTTTAAGTGATGGATATAGTTTTGCCCAGAGCAAGGCTTGTTTTCGGAGGTTTATCCAATTGGAGAGATGGGACTTGATCTCTTCCTAGATATTTAAGTGACCACCTATTTTTTCAAAGTCCAATGGCCAAATCAACATTTGGCAGACATTGAATATCATCATCATAAAATGAAATTCCAGGATACAAAAATAAACCCAAAATTTCATTCCTAAAAGGTAATTATTTTTCAGCTCGATTTTTAAAATATTTAATAGTCAAACTCTTTTAATGCAATGAATTACAATGCAGGGAAAAAATTTCTTGGCATTGATACTAAACATTTCTGATACTAAATAGATGTTCAATTTTAACTGAGATCAGTAGAGAAGCCATATATTTTGACCATGTCTTCCATATCTGCTGTGGTGATGTTTAAGATGCACTTTCTATCTAGAAACTAAGATGAAGCTATAAAGAACAAACCTTTAGAAGGCATTTTTGTTCTTGTATTATTAATGGGAAAAAATAGGTTTGGGCAGATCATTTTTTTCCCATATCTTTCGTTTTTAATCAATTGTCTTTATATTCCTTCAATTGGAACTGAAGATAAATTACCTGAGATTCTTTATACATGATTTTTGCTTTTTCCTTTTTATAGAATTTCAAAGTGGTAAAGTTGACATTTTGTTTATAGTTTATTCTCACAAGATGATATGTTTACAAATTGACATTTTCCTGAAACTCTTGTGTCTTAAATGTATTTAAACACAGTTCGAAAGGTTATTTTGGGAAACATTATGAACAATAGTTTACTAAACAATTTTAGAAATGGTAGAATTATATTCCAATAATTTAATCTTTTATAAACATATGTTGACTCAAAATGATATTATATCTCTAAAGATATATAGCTATAGTATTTTCTTAATGTTCATATTAAATTCAGTCTATTTCTTTTATTAACCACTTTAAAGTATTTAATCATTGTTGTGCACATAAAATTAACAAAAATCACAATTCTCATTAGTTTCTACATTTTAATTTTGCAATAATAAGGATGCATTCACAGTCAGAATTTTAACACATTGAGCACATAGAACTTTACTACAAGTTATATGTAGAATCCTTACCCACATTTGAAAGTGAATATTTATACATTAATAAGTCTAAAATAAATTGTGTCCTGTTTATGTTATAGATATTGTTATACCGATTCGATATGATGATCATCAGCATGATCACAAGATCACTGTTCAAGAAAACCAGAAATGTATAGCCATTTAGCACTTCAGTTTTCCAAAGACCAGGCTGAAATGGAACCCAAATAGATTTGGGTTGAATGCTTGGGTTGAAGTTCAACTTTGTTACATCTATTCTCTTGATCAATCATGAAGTCAGGATAGGTATAAAAGAAAAGGATCAAGGGCTTTCAGAAACTCAAAGATTATACACATTTGACATTTTTTCCTATTTATATTATTACCATTATATGTGTCCTAATTATGTCCCGTAATCATCTCTATGTCTTGAATTTTCAACCAGTACATGAGTCATATGCCAGAAAAACATAATGGCAAGGTGATTGTAAATTCAATTCAGCCTATTTCTGGTACCAAGAGACCCAAGAATAGGGATAAAGTGAAAACAAAAGCACCACATCTGGCTGGAGGAATGCTTCATTTATATTATTACATTTTCACTTTATGATGTTGGCATCATAGGAATGAACAACACAAAATTCTTTCTAGAAATAATATTCTCTTTTCTGGTTTCTTCTTTTAAAATATAACCACATATGGGTGAAGAAAACTTAGAAAGTCTTCAGTGCTTCGGTACACTCCACATTATAACTCACTTAATCTGCCTATGACGGCCACAGGCCATTGTTGTAATAACCTATATCTCGTAATATGCAGTGAGAATAGAGGAGTGAGCAGTAGCTAAAACCTTCACCATCTACTTAGATATGTTTGTCCTCAGTGATCCTGCAAAAGTCTTATTTTCTTGTGGTTCCTTCGTATCTTTTGATTCACATTTCCAGCCAGCTTACCCTTGAAAACTCTCCTCTGAACTAGGGTTTTAAAACATTAGAGAAACTGATAGAGCCCAATAGTTTCTCCTCCAAATACAGCATGCATATATAAGAACCAAGATGTTATGTATGTCACATTTTAAAAATGGGACCTGTGCCCTAATCACAAAGGGACATTCTAATGCATTTTAAGAAAAAAGAGAACGCTGACTATTATAGGTATATAACTGGTAAGTCGTGCTCACTTCTTAAAGCCTATCTTTGTTCTTTTGTTGGTCCCCAGTCTTTTATGAATTGCACCTCATCTGAAACAACATTAACTACATGCAAACTATCTGCCAGGAATTATTTCTGATACTATTCAGACTGAAAAGATGACTAAGAGTTAGATACTGCTCTCTAGAGTTTAAGAAAGGGCATTATACAGAATAGGGACTCTTTAATGGACAAATTAATTAATGACAGGAGACTGCAAGTTTATTTTTGATTTATGTTTGTTTGAAAGTTTGAATGTAATAACTAAATTAACAAAATGAAATGTGATTCTGGAAAAAAAATAAAATGACTCCAAACCATTTGTTTTCACAATAGTTTTTTTGCAATATTTGGCTTTCAAAATAATATATTTTTTTAAGATACAGAAGTAAAAATCTGAAATAAAAATTTGCTTTTTGGGCCTATGACAAAAATATGTGTGTGTCTGTGCCTGTATATGTGTGCACGTGTTTTCATTGGGCCACCCAAGTATTCAATACTTTGTACAAAAGGAGCTGGAAAATTGACAAATTAAACATAGACAAAGGCTTACCCAGAGCTTTTATAGAGGGATTACAGTCTGCCCCCAGATTTGACTTACTTTTATTTATTCCTTGGTACATGAGATGAAATTGTGATTAATAATAATGTCATCTGTTTTATCCTACCAGAAACAACCAACAAGGAGTCCTCACAAACATCTCTGCTGCCAACACTTTCTTCATTAACCACTACAGTTAAAGGTGAAGAGTGAGTGACGATGTGTTTTGCCACCCTTTTTCTTTTATATATAATTTGCATACCATAATAGTCACCCTTTTAAAGTAGATAATTCCGTGGTTTTTAGTATGTTCACAAGATTGTGCAATCACCGCTACCAGATTCCAGAACATTTGCATGTCCCCAAAAAGAAACATTATCTGTCACTAATCACTTCCCATTCTGCCCCTCCAGCCCCTGGCAGCCACTAAACTACTTCCTATTTCTATGGGTTTACCTCTTCTAGAAATTTCATATAAGTGGAATCATACAACCTATGATCTTTTGTATCTGGCTTTTTTCACTTAGCATAGTGTTCTTAGGTTCATCCATGCCGTAGCAGGTATGTGTAGTTCATTCTTTCCTATGACTGAGTAGCATTTCATTATATGGATCGCTACATTTTGTTTATGCAGTTATTAGTTGATGATCGTTTGGGCTGTTTCTACATTTTAGCTTCTATACATAATGCTGCTAAGGGCATTCTTGTGCAAGTTTTGTGTGACCATGTGTTTTTATTTCTCTTGGGCATATATACCTTGAAGTGCTGAATCACATTAGGTAACTCTGTTTAACTTTCTGAGGAACCGATTTCTGAAACTGTTGCACTATATTACATTCCTACCAGAAATGTAAGAGGGTACAAATTCTCCACTTTCTAGCAATTACTGGTTGTCTTTTTCATTGTAGTCATTCTAGAGAGTGTGAAGTGGTATTATTGTGGTTTTGATTTACATTTTCCTAATGACTAATGATATCGAGCATCTTTTCAATGTGCTTGTTAGCCACTGTATATTTTCTATGGAGAAATGTCTATGTAACTCCTTGCCCATTTTTTAAAATTGGACTATTTGTCTTTTAATTATTGAGTTGTAAGAGTTTTTTGTGTATTTTGGACTAGACCCTTATCGGATAGATAATTTGCAAATATTTTCCTCCATTTTGTAGGTATCCTTTGAAGCACTAAACTCTATAATTTTGATAAAATAAAGTTTATCTGTATTTCCTTTTGCCATATAAAGAAGGCAAAACTTTACCTGTACCCATCTTGGGTTTTTAGCTGGGGCTTTTTAACTTTTTAACAAAAAAGATCTATGGACAAAAGAAAAACACTTGATTAATGCATTCAGTATACATCACGTGAGAAACCTACAAGAAGAGTAACTCAAAGTGGTAGTTTATATACCATCTTCAACAACAACAAAAAATAATTTTGTACAAAAAAAAGAAAAAGGAGAAAGAAAGACAGTTAAGACTTCTAAGGGCAGCAAACTTAGGGAAGATAAGTATATGAAAGGAAACAAAAAGAGTAAGATTTGTTTGCAAATTCCTCTGGAGCCTTCTCTGAGCTGATCAGAATTTGTCTCCAGTAAAAGTAGAATTTATATCCTGCCTTTAGGCAGAAAGGGAGAAGCTTTTTCTGCATTTGCTGCTTCTTAATTGCCTTCAGTTTAAAATTTTTATGTCAAAGAGCCATATTTTGAGGAGACATAGTCTAGTTTTCTGCAGTCATTTGTGTAGTGGGGTCAACTCTAAGAAACCATTGCTCAACTCGAGGTCACAAAGATTTATACTAATGTTTTCTTCTGAGAATTTTATAGCTTCAGCTTTTAGACTTAAGTCTTTGATTTTTAAGTTAAATGTATTGGGGTGACATTGGTTAATAGAATTATATAGGTTTCAAATGTACAATTCAATACATCATATGTACGTCTGATTTTTGTATATAGTACAGGGTAGATGTCTGGCTTCTTTTCTTTTCTCTTTATCTTTTTTTCTTTCTTTCTTTTTCTTTTTTGGCATGTAATTATCCAGGTATCCTAACACTAGTTTTTGAAAAGACTGTTCTTTCCTGATTTGAATCTTCTTGGCACCCTTGATGAAAATCAAAGGGCTAATACTGTACAAGTTTTTTCTGGACTCCTAAATCTACTACATTTTTCTACATGTCTACTGCTATACCAGTATTATATACTCTTGATTACCATAGCTTTACATTAAGTTTTGAAATCAGGAAAAGTGAGTCCTCCAACATTGTTCTTCTTTTTCAAGATCGTTTTGACTATTCTGGGTCACTTGAATTTCTATATGAATTTTAGACTCAATTTGTCAATTTCTGCAAAAAGTCTGCTGAGATTGTGATAGGGATTGTGATAGGCACTGAATCTGTAGATCAATTTGGGAATTATTTCCATTTTAAATCTTAATTCTTCCAATCCATGAATATGAGAAGTCTTTCTATTTATTTAGGTCTTCTTTAATTTTCTTTAATAATGGTTATAGTTTTCAGTGTAGAAGACATGCACTTTTTTGTTCAATTTATTCTTAATATTGTATTCATTTTGATGCTATTAAAAAACAGAATCATTTTATTAATTTTATTTTCATATTGTTCATTGCTACTGTGTAGAAATACAATTTATGTTCATACATTGATATTATATCCTCACCTTGTAGAACTCATTTATCGGTTCTAATATGTTTTGTGTATTGCTTACAATTTTCTATATACAAGATTAATTTTCCGATAGAGATAGTTTTACTTCTTCCTTTCTAATCTGGATGCCTCCTATTTTATTTTCTTGCCTATTTGCCCTGGCTAGGATGTTCAGTACAATGTTGAATAGAAGTGATGAGAAGGGACATCCTCATTTTGTTCCTAATTATAAGGGAATCTTTCTATCTTTAATCATTAAGTATTATGTTATCATGGGTTTTTCATAGATGCCCTTTATCAGGTTGAGGAAATCCTCTTTTATTACTAGTTTGTTGAGCGTTTTATTAGTCAATGGTGTTGGATTTTGTCTTATGCCTTTTCTTAGTATTTTGAGATTATTATATGGTTTTTATTTCTTATTTTATTAATACGGCATATGACCTTGATTTCTGTATGTTGAACTAACCTTACATTCCTGGATAAATCCCACCTGGTCATGGCATGTAATGTTTTTTATATGTTGCTAGATTTGATTTGTATTACTTCATAAATAATTTTTGTGCCTACATTTATAAGACAGATAGCCTTGCAGTTTTCTTTTCTTGTGATGTCTTTATCTGATTTTGGTATCATGTTAGTACTAGCCTCATAGATGAATTTTTGGAAAAGTTTTTAAAGAATTGGTGGTAATTATTTTTTGAATGTCTGAGAGAATTTTCCAGTAAAGCCATCTGGTCCTGGGCTTTTCTCTGTGAAAATTTTGTATTACTATCTCAACTCTTTACTCATTATAGGTCTACTCAGATTTTCTTTTTTCTTCTTGATTCAGTTTCCTGGTTGGTGATTTCTAGAAATTGTCCATTTCCTGTAGGTTATCTTATTTGTTGGCATACAACTCTTCAGGCAATACAGAATTGCCTTATAACCCTTCTTATGTCTGTAAAGATGATAGTAACGTCCTCTCTTTCCTTCATAATATTAGTAATCTGAGTTCTCTCCCTTTTTTTTTAATCATTCTAACTAAAGTTTTATCAATTTTGTTGATCTTTTCAAAAAACCAACTTTTAATTTTGTTGATTTCTCTATTGCTTTTCTATTCTCAATTGTATTTCTTTTCTCTCCAAGCTTTATTATGTCTCCTTCTGCTTCCTTTGGGTTTAGTTTTCTGTTCTATTTCTAAATTTTTAAGTTGGCAGGTTAGTATATTGATTTAAGATCTTTCTTCTTTTTTTAATATAAGTGTTTATACCTAGAAATTTCTCTCTCAGTATTACTTTTGCTACATGCCATAAATTTTAGTATGTTTCTATGTTCATCTCGAAGTATTTTCTAATATCCCTATGATATAATCATTAACCTATTGTTTCATTTCTACACATTTATGAATTACTTCTCAAAGTTTTAAAAAATTATTTTTCTTCTTCTGTGTACCTATCAGACATCGCCTCCCTTCAAGCATCTAATTTTAAATTTTAACTTAGCTTATAAATAGATGGCACAGAGACTATTCTAAAGTATATTATGAATGTCTTCAGGCAGAGCATAATAACCATGACTTGCAAGTTCTTTGCAACTTTTTCAAAGTACTATTTTTACAGCAGTGCATTTGGCCCTCATCTTAAGGAATATATTAATATTTTTTAAAAAGTGTTTTAAAATTATTATTTAAATATTATTATTTAAAGATGTAAAAACTAAGTTTCAGAAAGGCTAAATGAGTTAACAAAAAGGACAAAACTTATAATAACAATTAGGAATTTGAAACTCTGTCTTTCAACTTCAAATTTTTCTTTTCATTTAACAAATTCATAATCAACTATTTCTTAATGAATTTGGATTATTATTTTAATTTCAATGATTATACTTGGTTATTAAAATGGAAGACTTTCAGGTACTAACAATGATTATATGGCATTTTTTTCCTCCCTCCATAAAATGGTCACAAAGTTCTATAATTTTTTGCTTTTTTTGTTGTTGTTTTTGATGTATATTCTTATTTTTTCACTGCTTTCAGGCTTCCCCTTTGGTGAGACTGCCAGCCTATTATGAATGGTTATTTCTTTTAATTTGCTCCTTTAAGTGGGAACAGCTTACACCACCACCACCACCAACAACAACAACAATTTGTTAGAACTGTTTAGAAAGGAGAAAATAAGTCTAGGTGAAAGGCCATGTTCTTGAGCATAGTACAGGAACAGTATTTGCACATGATTTTCACAATAACAATGGATCTGTTATTTCCACCTACTCTTTATATTCTTCATCTTACTTTTAGTGTGGATAGGCGAGGTTATCATTTTGGAAACTCATTATTAAGTAAGGAAAATATTGTCTAGTTTTTTTTTAATTGGCAGAAACATATCCACAAAAAATCTTATGAGGAAGTCCAAAATGACAACATATCAAACAAATATTAGTTAAACTGCTCAGTTTGAAGCAGTGTGGTGGTAGTATGTATTTGTGGGCAGGGTGGACTTCTACCCATTTCTCTTTTTCACTACTAAAGGTAGTCCGTGAGGTTTCCCTACTGAGACCTTAGGGCTGCAGTAGTACAGTTAAAAATTACTGAAATAAGATATTATGTTTACTTAAATTCCATTTGTAGTATAAAAAAAATGTTCATTTGATATAACTGAAAAACAAACATAGCAACTCTTTTTCACCCACCACTTGACTCGAGAGCATCCCGATTGTAATTGTTGTGATCCATGGTTTTCAAAAGGGACAGCTAAAATGTTCTAGAAGCTTTTGGGTCCCCATAAGCATTGTTGCTAATTATTCACTCATATGTAAGACCTTGTGGGTAACTAGGACCACTAAATATGAGGAAATAAAAGAGAAGCCCCTACCAGTATTTGCTTTGGCTCACTATTAAAGTAGATTTTAAGGAAGTGAAACGTGAGCATCTATTTGTTAGTAAAGTCTATAAGGAATTTTTTTTTAAACAGCACCCCATATTACTAGATCCCTCTGAAGTCATCAAACTATCTCAGCCCATTTGATTTCTGGGGTACATATGCAAAGAGCCACCCTAAATACATTCTTGGCCCGGGATCAGTCCCGAATTTTTACATAAATGTACCTTGCTAACTGGATTAGATAATAGATAGATCTGGAGACACCTAAACACCCCATTAACCAAGGGTTACATGATAGGGAGCTCTTCCGTGGGCAGCTCTGAGTCACTTTTCTTGGGTTTATACCCAGGTTCTAATTGCTTTTGCAAGAGGGAGGACAACGGTAAACACACAATTCCAAAGGGCCATCAACACCTACCTTAACCCACCACCTAAATGATATGAAAAAGAAATATAAAATTCACATAGAAGTAAAACTCTCTCCTTTACTTGTTTCCCACTGAGAGCTGTAGTTCTACTTTATCTGTTTCTTTGCCACCACCATTTTGTTTTCTTTAAAATCTTTGGAACTCCATTATAGCCTGGTTCCATTATCTGAGTTTCTCTTTTCTAGGACTGAAAGACTGAAAGAGATGAAGTCTTAAGTCCTCCTTGAGTTGTTCAGGTGTTTGGTCTTCAGTCCTTTACATCTCTTTCATTTTATTTTTTTTCTTTTGGTCTTAGCATTTAAACTTATTTATAGTCTGGAGTATTCCTTTTTACTCCAAGGGAAGAGACCAGGAGAATCTAACTGAAGCCTTAAGGAGTTTCTTTTCCAGTCCTCACCACTGCTTTGACACATCTCCAGTATAAACATTTATGCTCCTCACAATCTTTCTACGAGTGGCTCTTTAGTACTACTCTAGAAGTCAGTTAAATGAATCAAGACATTAATTTATTTGAGTTTATCCCAGTCTACCCACGTTGTCATGTGGACAGAATTCTATGGAATAATATTCCATAAAATGATCCCTGAAAATGGAAGTCCTTAGGAAATTGCTTTAGAAAATGCTACACCCTAGGGTTTTATAATGGACGATAACATTTCTTTTTAATTTTAGTAATCCTAACACAAAGACATCCATTTGACTTCAAAAATCTATGTAGCTTCAAATAATTTGACTATAAAAAACATCTTTTTTAAAACTTAAAACCAAATAACATGCCACAGTACTAGTATTCTATAGCATATGTTTCAGTAAACGCTAACTTTGTCAAAAAGTCACTTACCCAATATTTATTTCTGAAGACAAAGTGATCACACAAAAAGCTTTTACTATGTGCATTAGATAAAACAATACTGTAATTCAAATTATATAATTCCAGAAGAATAAAGCTGCTTTATCCCTTTCCCTGTCCATTTAAATCCATAAACCTTCTCTTTCAACTCAATCTGTTGTAAACACACTTCAAATCTCTAATATCATTAATGTCCACATTTACTGCTTCCTCCAAAAATATAATCCCCCAAAATATACAAGTGAATCCCATGTTAATATTCCTAGACAATTATGAAACTGCCTCTATTTCACACCCACTCTGCTCAGTCCTAGCCAGTGGCTCTCACTTATGGGTACGGTTGCAGCTACTTACATTCTGGTGTTGATGTGTCTCTCTCAAGTACCTCCTGTGTTGGATTTTCTTTATTCCAATTCAAACATGGATTAAAAATTTCTTATATTTTGTTTCATGCTTTATACATATAACACAATTCTAAGACTTAAAAGGACATGAATTTCAAAAACACAAGTCCTAAAAGTAAAGCGAATATTATATTGGTGATGCAACTCCAATTAGTCTTTCTCAAGTAAAATAATGTTTATCAAACCTAATACATATATTATTACCAAGACTTACAGTGCAAGGTGAACCTGCAGACCAAAGCAGATACATAGTATTATCTAGGGCAAAATAACCAGATGGAAAAAGTGAAATAGAGCAAGTCATATTTGTTTGAAGAACGACTTTAAGATTGGTTTCCTTTTTCCCTGAGGTGACAGTCACTTTTTGACAGGAGTCCAGAATCTACTATGTGTGAACCCAAAATGCAGTTGGGACAATTTTTTCAACATGATGTACAAGACTATGATTCTCATATCTTAATGAATGTCAGCCACCCATTTTTTTTCTCTCCTAGGATTTGTAACATTTCACTGTACTAGTATACTTGGAGAATGTATAGCTGTGGCAGCATTAGTCTCTACATCTTTTATTCTGTTCATTTTAGGTCCACAATAGACATTTAAAAATATTTTGATTGCCTTTAAAGCATTCAAGATTCCTTCCATTGCCTAATTGGCACTGTGTAATTGACAGCCTGTCCAGAATTGAGTGTGAGCTCTAATTCTACTCTCATTTGTGAAATATATTACACAATAATAGGCAATTCTCTAAGAACAGTCTCTGGTATTGTATGTCCATTATTCCATGAGTCTACTCCTTCCTTTGTATTTTTCTAATCTGGCAGCTCCCTACCTCTTTCTTAGCTGTATCTTCCCTTTTCAATCATCATGACTGTTGAGTCTGCTTCATGCTACTAAATTCTTTAGGCCATCAAGATAACTTTTTCACATTCTCCAATTTTAGCTCAGCAGAAGAATTCTTCTGCAAAGATTTCTGGAGAGAATCTCCTGTTCTGATGTTTTCCGAGCATGTGTTTTTGGATTTCCAGTGAGAAGCAAAATCTTTACCCCTATGTTCCTCTATCATCAAGTATTGAGTTTCTGTGACTTGGGTGACCTTCCCACTTCCATGCTATCACGAACATCGATTTCTGCCTTTCTGAGTAGAAATGAATATTATTAACTTCAGAGGCATCTCCATGTATTAGAGAAACTTCCTCAAGTATTTCTCTCTCAATTTAATACTTAGAGATGCCTCTGAAGTTTATACCCATTTCCACCCATTTTTTTCTCACATACAGTGTTAATGCTGTAGCTTACACTGAATTTATCTCACTTCTGTTTGCATGCCAATTCCTGAAGGCTTTTTTCCTAAAGTCATATTTATCCCCTGTCTATTCATTCTTCTTGCAAACTATTAATTTCTCTAGCATGAATCTCTCCACTGCACTAAGAATTTGCATTACATGATAGATGCTTGTTGCTATAGAATGGAAGCTGATTGACACTTCTGGAAGACACCAGCAATTCAGAGTCCTAGCCTAGTATGTAATAGGAATCTATTAAATTGCTTTCCTTCCAGCCAACATCGTATCTAGCTACCACTAAGTATGCATTAACCAGCATGCCTGCCTTTTCTTTACTTAACCCAATGTTCCCCATGCTGGACTTTGAAAAGACTGAAGGGCATCAATTATTTTGTTTTTATAATATTTGTGCAAATATTGGTTGTTTCAAGTAATTATAGTCCAGTGTTACTTTTGAAAGCTCAGCTTATCTTTTATTATTAGTTTTCTCTTCCCTGCCCCCTAAAATGAACTTAATATTATTAAAAGTCTATTCTATTTATTTTCTGTTATCCTTCTCCTGGCTTTTCCAACTACCTGAAAATTGTTTCCCAGACAGCATGGGAATCATGTTACCATCTTAAACTGCTGTTATTTCCTCACCTAAGTTACTCACTCAGCTATCCTTTTCTAGGACAGAAAAGGATAGCTGAGTGAGTAACTTTTGCATCTGAAAGGCTTATATTGAGATTGTGGCTCTCTCCTATTATAAGTTATGACTATTTATTTTTCTGAGTCTCATATATAAAAATGTGATCATAATTATTACTTAATTCATAGGATTACTATTATTTTCACATGAGATAAACTGTAACTGAATCTAATGTCCCCCTTTTTAATATAATTAACTGAATCACCAAAAGGTAGATATCGAAATGCTGGATTTCTAAATCTTGATCAGAAGACTCTGAATAATCTTCAACTTGTAACTGGTTGTTAATATTAACACTAATAAGACTATCTAGTGATTGGGTTTTACCCTTAATGGCTGCTCATTCTTTTTACATAATTAGGAGATACAACCAATGGTGTCACGAAGAATAAGTTTATCACTGCAAATACAACAGTGACGAATCTACTTCCAAATGCTGTTTCAACATTACAAAGTTCCCAGCACACGAGTAAGTATAAGTATTTGTGCTGAAATGTTAAACTAATATGTTGAATAGAATTAGACTTGGAATATTTTCTAGCTCACTGTTACTAAAGAACAATGCCCTATGTATATTCTATCTTACTCTCTACCAAACAAGACAATCATTTGGTAACTTTGCTTCATACAGTGATATTCTACTCCTCCACAGCCACAAACGGGTGGGTGCCAAGGAAGATCAATTCAAGGCTGGGCAGTAATCTATGAATCTGTGATATTACCTGGAACAAAAAAGTGAGCTTGGTCAACAAATTAGAGAACTTTGATGAAATGGAAAAATTCTTAGAAAGAAACAAATTGTTAAGAAGATAGGAAGTCTGAAAAAAATACTAAAACAATTAAAGATATGCATTAAAAATTTAAAATGGTTCCATGAAGAAAACTCTAAACAGGGTGGCTTCATTTGTAAATTCTATAAAATATTTTTTTAAAAGAAATAACAATTCTTCTTAAACCCTTGCAAGAAGTAGAGGAAGAAGGAACATTGCACAAGTAATTATCTAAGGCCAGTATTACCCTATACCAAAGCTAGAAAAAGAATGAAAACAAAAAGCGGGTAAAAATACCGCAGACCAAATCCTAATGAATGTAGATACAAATATCCTTAATAAAATATTAGCAAACCAAATTCAGTAGTATATAAAGAGATATAAAACATGAACAAGTGAGATTTATCTGGGTTTAGCATATGATAATCAAGTAATGTAATACACCATATTAGTAGAATTAGTAGATGCAGAAAATACATTTGACAAAATTTAACACTCGCAATTAAAACTCTCAATGAACTAGAAATAAAATGAAACTTCCTCAAACTGATAAAGGACATCTATGAAAATCATACAGCAAACATCATACTTAATACTGAAAAACTTAATGTTTTTCTCTAAAGATCTGGAACATGGCAAAGATGTCTATTCTTACCACTTCTATGCAAAATTATAACCAAAGATTCTAGATAGTGAATAAGGCAATAGATAATCGATAAATGATAGATGGTGACAGATAATAGACAGATGATAGATAGATAGATAGATAGATAGATAGATAGATAGATAGATTAGATAAAGATAGATAGAAATTGATAGATAGATCCATTTATCCAGATTGGAAAGAAAAAAATAAAAGTTTTTCTTATCAGAGTACATCATTATCTATGTAGAAAATTCAAAGAATCCATAAAAACCACAAGAACTAATAGTGTATTTTATATCACAGAATATGAGATATACAAAAAATGATATTTCTATATATTGGCAAAGACACTTCAAAAATAAAATTAAGGAAATAATTACATTTACAATTGCATCGGGAAGAATAAAACATTTAGGAATAGATTTAACAACAGAAGTGTAAAATTTGTAAACTGAACTACAAAATATTTCTGTAAGAAAGAAATATCTAATTAAATGGGGAGACAATACATATTCATGTATTAGAAGACTCAAAATTTTAAGATGGCAGTTCTCCCCAAGTAGATAAGCTATTGATTAACACATAAAATGCAATCTTTATCAGAATCACAGTGTTCGTTTTCTTATAAATTGATAAACTTATCCTAAAATATATAGAGAAATGAAAAGGACCTGGCATAGCCAAAATGTTTTGGAAAAAGAATCAAGTTGGAGGACTTATGCAATTTCAGAACATACTCTAAAGTTATAGTAATCAAGACAGTTACTGAGATAATGAACGTTAATAGATAGTAGCATTATTTATTATAATAGTCACACTGGAAACAATCTAAATGTTAATTACCGATGAAATGAAATATCCCATTAGATTTTTTTATTTGGAATGGGCTTGCAATACTCCAAAACATAAGATATCCGTACGATGGAATACTATTTGGCAATTTAAAGAAACAAAATACCAATACATGCTGTAACACAATGAACCTCAAAAGCATTATGCTCAGTAAAAAAGCCTTTTACAAAACACAACATATTGTGTGATTCCATTTGTATAAAATACCCAGGTATTTTTACAGGGATATTTTTACAGGGATAGAAAGCAGACAAGTGGTTGCCTAAAGCTAGAGGTGAGACTGGGGTTTGACTGCAGAAAAAGGCTCCAAGAAGTGTTTTTGTGTTGTGAAAATGTTCTAGAACTGGATCATAGTGATAATTACACAATTTTTAAAATTTACCAAAATGTATTGAGTTGTATATGTAAAATGAGTGAATTTAGTTGTGAATTTTTTAAAATAAAATTTTTTAAAAAAACAAAACAGAAGAAAACACTGTCCTAGGCCAGTCAAATTTCCTTTCTGGGCGATCTGAACCAGAAAACCCAAACAAAGAAAGTGATTAGCTGTGGGAACTGAAGCAGCAACATTTTAGTAGAGCAAGTCTGAGGCAGCCATGGTGATTTCTATGCATCCCTATGACATAATGAAACAAATATTATGAGTAAGTGGAGTTGATAGAGATGAATAGAGAAAGCGTGTGTGGGACATTGAGAGATCTCATAAGCAAGATTAAGCTGTTCATGAGAGACAGAGAGAGTAGCAGGACGTAGAGCTCCCCTGACTTCTGACAGATATCTGGTTTCAGTCCACATATATCTTTACAACGAGCATGTCCCACATCCTGGCCACCATGATATGAAGTAATTTGCAATTTTAGCCAAAATATCCCAACTAGAAAAGCTAGTAGTCTGCCATGACAGCATTACCAGATACCATTCATTATAAATAATGGATGCATTTTTGGCATGTCCATACTCCTCAATGAGAAGCAGCTACAGATGACTCAGTCTCCAAGTTTTTCTTTGAAGACCTCTAAGTTAGAAGGAAATGGAAAGTGGGAGCCATGGATATCCAAAGCCCACTCTTCCCTTGAAACACATTGAGAACATCCATATTCTTCCTTTTTATTGTGGTCATCTTAAGCACAAAATAAGAAGGTTATCTAGAAGGAGTCTAATTTCACACCATAATTGTGAACTAATAATTTTATTTCATGAAACAATCGCCACATAGGAGAATGTAAAGAGCAAGATCATTTCTTCTTCAGATGAAGAACGTTTCTTTGTAGTAGTGTTTTGGCTTCTAAAAGTAGAACCTATTTTGTAGGCAATATATGTCTGAATATCAAATACCCTTAGCAAACCAAAATTCCATTCACCTCATAATATGATTGCCCCAAATATAAACAAGAATAAAAGGAAATATGCATCTGCAAAATGTGTAGCCATTGGAGATTACACTCAAATAATTTGAAAGCTGCACTAATACCCATTCAGTGACCGATGAGGAAAATGTCATTCAGAGGCCATGGTTTATTAAAATTAGCACTTATAGAGAAGTGTGGTCAGCCCCATGAGTCACTTAAGACTCGTAATTTCATTTTGATTCATGCAGTAAAATGCTCTCTGCATCTCACTTCTGGGGAATATTAAATTTATTCAGCTTCTAAACACAGAAGAGGCTTTCTTCCAAGTAATTTTTTAAAAATATAACCACAAAGCCATTTCTTGAAACATGAAACACCCTGGAAAGCGAGATAACAAAATAAGGGTACTTACTGCTGCTCTTTGCATTTGTCATTTGATTAATCAGTTCTATACTGTCTTTTAGATATTTGTTATGAAATTCATTCCTCCCTAGATAGTTCTCGTTCCTCAAGGTGCTTCCTACTTAGCATGGACTCTGCTTGATATAATAAGTTTACACACATTTTCATTTGTGCACGATGAAACCAGGAGCCTGCCCAGTTTCCTGGTTAGCAGAGCAGTGCTCCCTTGCAATCTCCACCCCTCACATGGTAAACATTCAGAAACAGTGGAGTCAAAACAAGAGGAATAGAAAGAGAACAAAACAATCTACTGGTAGGGGAAAGCTAAACAACTAAAGTTTCATCTCATTCTTAAACATATGGGCTTGAGTCCTTGAATAGTGATTATCAGATAAAGACATTGTGGATATGTCATCTCAAGTGCAGGTTTGGTTTAGAGTTAGTGAGGTTAACCAAAGGAAGCAATAGCAATTGTCTCTTCTTCCTCGCCTATCTCTTACATTGTGCACCTTTCATGTTTTCAAATATGGTTATAGAAACTTGCTTCTTTTGGTGAATTCTGAGTTGGCAATAAAAAAAAATGTGGAATAAGATTTTAGATAGACGACAAATGGAGATGGGCAAAATGCCAGTATATAATTCTACTAAAACAAGTACTGAGATAGAAATACTTCTAAGGATTTTTCCAAGCCAGAGCTTCTGCTCCCACAGCATATACAATATTGCAGACTTTAAATTTGAAAGGAAAATCCGAATAACATTTATAAGTAATCAGTAGGCTATTAAGCAAGAGTTAATTGCATTTATATAGAATAGTTTATTACATATTTTGTTTTGCATAATTTATCCTAGTTTAATATGTTTATTTTCATACAAAAAGCATAGACAATTGTACAACAACCAAGAAGACATTTTAGATATCTTACTGGCTGAACATGAGAATAACCTATATCCATACCTATGAATTTCAAGGCAACACACACTTCCTAAACTAAAAATTTCACATTCTAGTCACGCCAAGAGAAACCTAGCTTATTGGTTAAATAATGATTTTAAAGTCAGATTGCTTAGGTTCAAATAATAGCACAGCCATTTGTTTGTACTGTAGCCTTTGGTCAGCGACTTAACTTTGTGCTTCAGTTTTTTCATCTGTAAAATAGGTTATAACAATGTTATACCTTTACAGGATTCTTATGAAGATTAAAAGAGATAAAAACCTAGAAAGCTTAAAATAGTGTCTGACAAGGAAACAATAAATTTTACCTATTATTTTATTAATAATAATCCTTGCAAAAGCCAGGCAAAGTTTCACAAATAAGAAAACAAGTTCAGAAAAATTAAATAACTTGGCCAAGGTAAAATTCAAAAGATGAAATTCAAACCCTATTTTTCTTGCCTCAAACCCCATAAACTACATTATACCACACTTGTTCTTGTTACATCTATTTTA